GGAGAAACTCAAATCAGATGAAGAATGTGGTTTGATTGAAAGTGTCACCAAAAAAGCAGAATATTCAGTGGTGTATGAAATAGAATGCAATGCATGCAACAAGACGAGTACACGAAAAGAAGGTGGAACCGTTTTGTTGCTGAATTTTGCAAAAAGTGTTGGTGAAGCATTGGAGAATATGCAGGAAATGGATGAAACATGCACACATTGCAATCATCAGGCAAAGGGTACTCTGGTTGAAATGCATGTTCCAGAAGAGTTGATTATTTGCCTACAAAAAACAAAAATATCAAATGGAGTTGGTATCAAAATATTGGATGCAGTTGATGTTGAAAGAGAGATCTATATCCAGGGATGCAAATACGCTTTAAAAGGATCAATAATTCACAAAGGACCGACGTTGAATTCAGGCCACTACATTTATTATGATTCAAAAGAAGATGTGGTAATCAATGACGAAATAGTTAGAAAAACAAAGAATGACGATTTAGAACAGGGATACATGTTCATTTATAAAAAAGAAGAATAAATGGATGTATAAGAGGGGAAACTATTTTAATCAGGATATGCGAAGTCTCCCTATCATCCCACAATCTCTATAAGAGGTACAAACACTTATTAAACACCTAAAAGCTCATTCATAGCCTTGGTCCAAACCATAGTGATATTCTATCATATTTTATTTACAATTTACCCACAGAAGTCTCCTAAAATGCATCCAAAGTATCTTCTAAACCACGACCTATTTTCTGGATGTGGTACTCTCTGAGATCTATCCAAAATATTCTCTGATATTATGTTACCATCTGATGAAGTAATTACTATTTTCCTAGTCTTATTCTCTACTGCCCATGTTTTGATATGCGTCTCTTTTGATTGTTCAATTATTTCATTCTCACCTGACATTCTTTCTGATCCAACATATGAAGATGACTCTGTATTTTGATCAATGGATTTGTTGCCCACATTCAAATCCATTGATTCCTTCACTGTTTCTGGTTTATCTCCTGATACATCCCCCTTTGTATCAAATGATTCCATAACAATCGTATTATCAATATTAAATACCTTGTCAAATTCAGTTGCTGAATATGAATTGGATTCGTGTTCTGAGACACATTTCAAATCAACTTGTTCATGTTCCACCACATCTTCAACAGTGATTGTTTCACAGCTTTCATTGGATTTGCTACTGTCGCCCATTACAGTAACATTCTCAACAGCCGTTACGATTTCACTAATTCCACTACCATCAGAAATAGCAAATTGTATACTGCTACTACCGGATTCAAGAATACTATTCTCTATGTCACTATTCTCAGCAGCTATTTCTTCTGCCAAATCACTAATATCAGTTGTTCCAAAACTATCAGAAACACCAAGGTTAATACTCAGTTGAGAATCACTAGACTCAGTAATAGCACTCTCCTTCACACTGCTACTAGTGTGATCATTGCATATATCACTGACTACCTCTCTATAGTCTGTTGATGTCAGGTGTGACTGATCTGTATCATCCCCCTGTAATTCCACTTTCATCTCAGACTGAGCGGGTTCAATCCCAGGGGATGAACTTTTTATCCCTCCTTCTTCTGACTCATGCGCAGTAAACTCTGCTTTGATGCCGCTAAAGAACTGGATTAATCGTCCTACACGTCCTTTCTCACACAGACTCGGGTCATCCAAGTGCACCTCAACACTGTCACGTTCCAAACTCTCCTCACTCCTGGAATGCTCTACCGTCTTCTTGTTCTGACTCGATGAGCTCGCTGGAATGTAACTGAAACACATGGGGTATCTTTCTCGTTTATTTATATACTACTTATCGCATAATATCATGCATGGAGATGTTTTATGATACTATTTACCTGAAAATATTTTAATATTTGATAAGGGTATTAAAAGAGTATTTAGGTGTTTGAAATGGATGTGAGTGTGTTGAATACAGTAATAATAGTGTGATATGTAAACACTTGTATACATAAAAGCATATTTGTAAAGTATTGGAGAGATAATAATGCAACCTGGCAATAAGATTTATAAGGTTGTAATGTGCTGGAAACAGCTACACGTACTT